TTGACGGCTTTAAGAAACAAAGAGTTTATAGGAGTTATTTACCGTCCTACTAATTTTGAACCATTAGTATGTAATATATTATAGTACATATATATATATATATGTACATTTCTTGTTGAACTAAACGTAGGTGTATTTTTAAAAATATGTTCACATTGATTGATCGCCAAACTGGAGTTCTAAGATACCTGAAGTATTCTGAATAGATATTATTCAAGTAGATTATTATTTATTAATGCATATACAATATAATTTTACGAAGTGTATTTATAATTAAACAGGACTGACGGTAATTCGAGGGTTAATGATTGGAAAATAAATAGATTACTTTTATTAAATTTGAATACAACTATTTTAGTTGAAGTATCTAAATAGTTGGGAAATGATTCGAGAAGTATATGAAAAAAGAGAATCTCGTGAACGCAAGCAAATATATAACAAAAAGCATAACAGTTTATAAAGGAACGATAAAATAATGTTGTTTGTTTGTGTGGTAAAAAAAGATAAATTTCTAGTGAGAGTAAACATTTTTCAACAGTGGCACAATTATGTCCATACTGGATTTGGATTTCTAAGTAATAGATAAACTTACAAATGACATACAGGACGAGGTATCTGTTGTTATGCTTATTGTTCGTATATGATGGAGACAAATAAGTTGAAAATGAATTGGTTCAAACAGATAACTTAGAGTTTAACTTTAGTAATAAAGAAGTTTAAAACAAGTACATTTGGAGAGCAAATAGTGAATAATGTGTAACAATTAAGTATTGGTAAGTAATGTATAATGTTTAAGTATCTGGGAGAAAATATATAACAAAGTAGAGGGTTTGAAAAAAAGTTGCGAGTATAACAGTGTTTTTTTTATAAAGATGAAAAGAGGCAACGGGAAGGTTGTGGGATTTGTGTGGCTCCTCTTGAAAGGAAAATTACATACAACTACTTTGATGAGTGGAAGTAATTGTTTGACAATCAGAGAGGCAAAATGAGAATGTTCAAATGGATGTGCGTAAAGTGACTAAACAGAATTCTGACAAAACTTAAGTCACTACAGAAACGGTGAATTATCTTCTGATTACTATATTATAATGGATTTTGTATGCCCGACCCACACAAACACACCACTGCAACTTGAACGAGATATTGAAATTATAAATTTATTTAAAGCACTCGATGTCCATCGATATGATTACGTCCATTTCGAAAAATGTTTTACAATAGTGCTCATTAAATTTTCAAGTATGTCAAAACCAATTTCAGTTAAGAACCCATTAACTTCAGAGTTTCGTCTCGTTTAACATTATTAATGTTATCCGCTTGCTCGTCCAATTTTCTTTGACGAATTTCTCATGGAACTTTATCCTTTGTCTCGATTCAAGCACATAGCACGTGCAGCCATTTCACGTTATTCCATTACTGTAAACCAATTCACGTACTGTATTTCATTAATATTATCATATTATTACGTGAATTTGTACTAGCTTACTGTTTGTACCGAGGCAGTGTATTTGTCTGCCGTTCGAACCAGTCTTCAAATTAAACTCAATACTGTAGTGTGTAAATTCCGTAACCGTTAGGCTTTATGTGTAAGTGACATTGCTATTTTATCGTTGGCTACCGTTTATTGACAGCACCGGACAAAATGACTTTTGGTTTTCAAATTCCCATAGCTAACGGCCACCGCGCTGTCATCGCCACCCGTACAATCCTCTGAGGCTACTTTGATTTATCGGTAGGACCCAAACGAGGCGACGACGAGCCGACACATTGACGCCCGCCGGCGAAGGCGACTCGACTTGTTTACCACGAGCTTTTCTCATTTCCTCGTTTGTGGCGATTACTTTTTTTTTGGTCTAGTCGAAGACAATTTTTTCTCATTATCGTCACACTCCTTACCTCTAGCCTGCTGCTTAATTTCGATCAATACAATACCAGGACACAGCCAGAAAACAGCCCGACGTAGAACGTAGAGAATACATTTATTGAACAAATCAAGAGGTTTATATGATTTATTATTCTAATAAATTTGTCGTTATATCTATTCAACGGTTAGCCTTATGTGTATATAAATTGTGTAGGCGTATAATATCATATTAAGACGGTGTGAAAAAATCACCCATAAATCACCGAACGACATTTTGTTTCTATTGCTGGAATAAAAAGCGACTTCTCGCTCGTATGGAATCGGCAGCTAATAATAACTGCCTTTTTTTTGTCGTTTTAGAAGCTAAAAATGTACACTAGTGTTTTCCTTAGCTCACTTCACACAAATACTATTCCTACACGTCGTTATTTTAGATTTGCGTCAAACAATAAAAATAATATTGTTATTGTTACCGTGAAACATAATATTGTATTATGTAAACACGGTTCTAGGTAGTCGGCGACATCGAATTTCTCCGAAATACAATACTCGGACGTTGTTATTTTGCATAACCAACGCGCCGTGTCAATTGAAAAGCTTTATTAAGTAATAATGTAATGGTGTAGTGTTTTACAAGTAAATTATTTTTCAAACTAATTTCGTAATGTATTTGTGTTTTTCATAAACAAAATTTAAGCTATACAACGAATCGGCAATGCTCATGCTACCGGTGAACATTGTTTAAAATAATATAATTCTTCATGACCCCACACATTTTCCCTCACTTTTCTTATTTTTCGAGAAAAAAATACATTGACTCTCGAACACTCGCGTTTTTGGTTGACAAGCGTTTACTTCGAATTAATTATGAAATAAAAAACAAACTCATTTCTTTTATTTTGAATAATACTTATATAGTAATAACAATAATTTAAAAGAAAGTACTTTTCCGTGAATGTTTCAAATGACGTTAAGTTTTTCGCAAGGCATATAATTTGGCGTTCAACGTCGTAGTCGACAAAGAGGCTGTTTCAAAAGTGTGTATTTGGAAAAGTCCAACGAAAAGAGACGTCATAAGGGATTCAAAGCGCGTCTATAGCGCGATAGCAACTTTCACTCCATTAAAGTTCTCGTCCAAAATTTGTCAGACTCGAGGTGTCTTCTTTCTAATGTGCTTAATATGTCGCGTTGATTTTGTATACAGGACGTGCGAGTACATGGAGCCCCTCGCATTGCCTTCTTAAAATACAGCAAGTAAGTCGAAAGATTTCGTACAAAAGTTGTATAGTCTGACGGCTTGGTAAACACGCCACGACTAAACCTAAGAAAGTTAGTTGTACGGCTACAAAATTAAAATTGCAGCATTACCGAAAATTCGTATTATTATGATAATTACTGTTATCACTGTTTATTTATGATTTTTTTTTTGTCTGAGGTATCTTTAGAAGTCTGACTTTAACTGATTGAATTAAAGTACTTTATTGTAGTGTTACGTTTATTTAGATAATAAGGGGGCTGTATTTTTATTTATAAAATCTCAAAGCATTTATTATATTTAGATGCTAATTTTGTGCCAAGGAAAGTTTCCGCCACTAAATTGTTTTGTTGTAATGCGTAACTCACAGGGTTGAAACGGTTCAACAATCAAGTAACATAAACATGTGTAGTCACGCTGTCGATTAAGACACAAGACATTTTGATTAGATGATTGGATTTTTCTTAATAAAAACGTCATATGGTGTCAGTACAATATTTTTCCTCATACTATACCCGGTAAGTTTCTATACTTTAATTAATAATATCCTATTGTACTGTTTTTTTATGTTTTTTAACTAAAAACAAATGTTTTTCTTATAAAATATCTCTACGACGTATTTTTAAAATTTAAAATTGTGTTTGATAAGTATATGGAATAACAATTTTGAAAAATCTATTCGAGTCATACCGGTGAATCAGGACAACCGTGTCAACTGTAGTTCCCTGAATTTTGTCAAGGACGCAGCGTTATACCATTTTAATATTATCATGAGATAATTTGCATGGAATCACCGACAGGCGGGTCCGTTAGTCACCCCGTCGTGCCATTTCTGACACTTCACAGTGAGATGAAAAATTGTAACTTCTCTCGCAGAAGGCAAATGATTCTGGTGACATATTAAATCAGAATATTATGCCACATAATATATGCATGCTGGTCTCGAATACAACGATTAACTAATTAGTTATGTTTTTTTGTTAAGCGTTCTCCCAATGAAATTTGAGTTGCCATAATATCATCTTCTCATTTTCATTATCATCAATCTAATTTATATTCTTGTTCATAATATATTATGTATACATTAAAGTGAATAATACCAATATTCTGAATTCGTTGCGAATGTTTTAAAACTATTGTAATTTTTTCAGTGTTATTTAATATGGATTCAGTGAATTATTTTCTTGTGCGCAAGAATAAGAATATTTTAATAGTATCACTTCAAACTGTTTCTTTGTTAATAAACAAATAACTCGTCAAATTAAAATTAAGTTTGAATTATTTTGGGTAGGAATATTTTTGGTTCATATTCTGCAATTCTGGTTGTGTGATATTTCTTGAGAACACGTTTTGGATATAATACGCTTACATACCGTGCACGTATTTATTACAATAAGCCCAAATTAATTTATGCAAAAAGATTTCAGGTCGAATTTTCTTCAAATTCAATTTCTGTTTTACGAATAAATTCGGGTTTTACTCGAAATTACTTTTATAATAAGGATATAAAATAGTTTATAATATATAATTAATTGTTTATATATCTATGTACAAATATATATTTGCTATACAAAAATAATATAATATATTATACCATTCCATGCTTATGTTTAATACGGCAAGAGCGATTTTATTTTTATGAAATCTACTAAAAAAAAATGTTATTGCGTCGTCCTTCATTATAATAACCGTATGCATAGATTTTTTTATGTTAAATAAATATATAAACATTGCATTGTTTTATTTCCAATAACTTCCCGGCAACGTACAGAGGGTGACAAGTCATTGTGCAGGATATTGTTTAGCGCCAGCAAATGAATGTTAACAAAATGTATACATAATTCTAATTACAAAAAACGAAAAATTTGCTTTCCGGCTTACCTATTTTCGACGAAACTGTGTTAATGGCTGCTGTGAAGACTATTAACCCAAAAAACAGCATCACTGCCGTATAACCACCTACAGAGGTCGCATTTTATCCTTTCCTGTAACAAACAAAAACAATCAAATTGAAATAACGGCAAATTCAGGGGAAGGTATTTTCGTTTCGAGTTAATAAACGTCTGCCCTCTCTACAGCTACCTGCCATACCATTTTAGTGAACCGTGAATAAAATAAAAACGACGCCAAAAAATCTTTTATATAACATCCTATCCTCGTTCTACGCACATGCTGTACAGCTAACGTTAATGCAAAAATAATAATATAAATAAGTGTAATGAATATTTGGCGTTCGCGTTAGACTGAGGTAGAATATGGATTTTCGCAATTATTCTCTAACAAATGATTATCGCTATAACAATACTAATAATTATTATTCTGTATTGAAATATAACTTGCAGTCGGGTACATAAGATATTGTATTATGTTTTGTTACAATGGCGAGAGGGAGGAGTAATACAATTATATCTATGAGGTTGCCAAAAGACAACTCTAAAACGTATATTATTGCAAGCAGTGTAATTTTCTCAATCCTAATGATGAATCCGCAAATGATAAAATGTCAAAATTCGAACAAATTACAATATCAGAAGTTTTATTCAACATTATACAAACTTGCAAGTTGGTTGCCGACCAACTCGAAATTTTTTCAATTACAAAACAAATCGATTTTGAAAAAAAATATTACCATAATAATATTTTATCATCGAGTAAACTTGGTCGCTGTTATCATAGTATATTCATTCTCCATCTGCCAACCTTCCTTAAAAATCTAGGTAATGGCCTAGGTGATGCAATTAGAAATACTAAAATGTCATAATTGCAGTTCAATGCCATACTTATTTAGATGCTGATTAGTTTGAAAAATTAGAAATGTTAGTAAATATTAATAAGTAGTTAAAATTAAAAACTGGTGTAGACGTCATCGTAGAATGAGGAGTTTTATTATATCGCTGAAGTAAATTTGTAAAATGAAAAAATAAAAATAATGAATATAAGAGATATAATTATGTTTTCTTAGTCGTGCAAAAATGTGCGAACCTGAAAATGTAGGCAAGGAAAAGTTTAATTAAAATGTCGTCGAATATTAAATCGGTATGATAATCAGACCGTTTGTATTTGTTCTGCTAAAACGGTCAATGGAATATTAATTAACAAACCTCGCGACTCGTGCACTGAAGCGTTTAGTATGGAGTTTCAATTCCTCTGAAAGTATTATTAGTGCTGGAGGAATAGTCATGGCGCAGAGGCGTTGAAGAGATGGTGGCAGTGGTAATTAAGGTTCGAGAGAAAAAAAATGTATACGACGAATAATAATAAACCCTTGCAGCAAGAGAAGACTTAATTTTTAGCGCTCGGATAGCGCAATTTAATAAAATATTATTCTTGGCCAGTATCGTTTGTCGGTATATACAAGGGATAATGTCATGGTAGGATACTCCCCGTTCATCCGTCTATTCTTATAACCATACAGAATAATAATAATAATAAAATACATTTTTCGTCAGATTTTTATTCATTCAGCTTGAGTCGCTACTTGATGGATGCTTGACCTCAAAACACCGCAGTTAAGATACATTGAAAATAAAATATATAAACCGTTTTATTTCCCTTCCTCTAGACCTCCAACTATTTTGTTAAAACTTTTTTTTCAAACAAAAAATACCGTGACACTTGAATAGTTATTATCTCGGATGGCCTTCTGTAGAGCGTAATCGTCTGGAATAAATTGAGCGTGTTTAATAAGATAAAATAAGATTAACCGGTGATAGACGAGAAGAAATACATTCGATAAAAAAATATAGTACAACGATTACACTTAGGAGTTAAGACAGTATTGTACTTGTAACTGCTAAAACTTGTTGTCTGAAATCCCTAAAGAAAATGTTGAGGACAAAACAAAAACACTTTTACCAACGGTAAATCAACTTGAGTAAATAAATTAAATTTACGGAAATTGTTTTGGAATTCATTGTTATATTTTTATTTGAAAATAATTTTCACTGTCGAAATTGTACACTTTGTATTTTCTAAAAAAATGAAATATTATATATGTTACCATATAAGTTTCGATTGGTAAAGCTCTAGAAAATATTATAAAAGATAAAAATTGTATTATTGTCTAATATTGTAGTACAATAGATTTCGCTTATAAGACTCAGTTTTGGGGTAGGGCGTTAAAATAATCACTTGGTCTATATTATATGAAACCATATTAAATTATTTTCGGTAAATTCATATGACATTTTCTTCATTCTTTTTATTTAACTATTTATAGTAGTTTACATTTATTTTAATAAAATTAATTTTAATTTTTTAAGCTTGCTATTTTTTATTTCATAGTTTAATTTGTGTAATAACGATGTGTAAGGTTTAAATTAAAACAGTAATACATTTACTAAAAATAAAATACAATCAGTAATAGTATACTAGTTTTGTGTGGTTTTCTATAATTATATTATAACTTATTTATGTGCTAGAATTTATCAAAACAATAGTAAACATCGTTATAATAATTAATTATTTCATTTGGACTACTTATCAACGGCATCTTAAGGATTCTCCTTATTCGTGTACAATAGTCAATATACCGAAACAATAAACCTTGTACCTGTCTATATGAAATACTTGGGATTACATCCAGACAATGATTAAGTATTTTGAGATCGACATTGTTTAATGAATATTCGCAAACACTACCAAAATCTAACTATATAAATCATCAGCAGACGCAGTAAATATTATTATTTATGTAGAATATTAATAATAATATAATATAACGCAGCTCGTTGTTATTGGTTCTCGAATGAATTTAAGTAAAATTATAGTTCAATGAAGTATGCTCTTGAATATATAATATCTACAACATGGATCCAAACTCTGTAATGTCAATGAACTACAATTATTGGCTTTTATGGAATTTCATTTTACGATTCTAGTATTTTACTGCGACCCAACAAAATTATTTTGAGGATTTCCATCGTGATTCGTGTACTTCGGTGCGTTAAATTCAACTTTTTCTATCCTCGGCCAAATCCAATAACGTTTCTAGGTTACATAAAATGTTTATACCAAATACATTTATAACAGCAAAATATTAGCTACAAAAAGAACGATATTTGACAGTTTATTAGATGTAACGAGAATAAAATATTTATTTTACCTAGACGGCTCAAATGTCAAAGAAAAGCAATAAATATTTAATCAATTTTATTAAGGAGAAGCGAGTAATTGAAACGCATTAAAAATGTAGTAACTAATGAATAGGCACACACCCCGATTGAAAAACTTGTTAAGCTTAAGGTTGGTTCCAAGAAATAAGTTCTTAATTTACTCTAACAGTACGTATAAAACGGTGTAAAATACTTTAAAATTATTCTTCGTGTCTGAAATATTTATTCGTTCTGTGAATTTGTGCATCGTAACTGTTTTATAACAGAATCTATTGAATAGGTAGAATGGCCTATATTTTCCAGTCTCTAATGATTGGATCGTTATGGCCGGTTTGTTATAGTATCCGATGACATCCAGCTTCATTTATCAAGTCAGGAAAGCACGGCGTAAAGCCTCTTCAAGAATGCGTAGTTACTACATACCTACACCCCAAAACTTTCCTATCGGTCCATTCTGCTATACAGCGGAAGCAAAGTTTTTAAATTACATTTTATTGTCATTTCATGACTGAAACTTTTTTTTATTAATATATATCATTCGTGTATTATAATATGATTTCAAGGCTAAAGCCGCATGGTATTTACTTATTAGTAAATACCATGTTAATTAAATAATATTATACAAATGTTATATTACTTTACATAGTTCCCATAGTGTACTGCATCTCTTAAGCCTTATGTTAAAACATAACTGTTTTTTTTTTAATTAGCGATCATTTACACTAAGGTCACCAAGTATTTTTGTTAGGATATCAGCACTCAGTAGTTTTAGATAGCAAATATTATATTAAATAGAAATGACACGGAGAATTACTCCACTATTGAATTATTACAGAATATAGAACAAATTACCCTGTAAATTACAAATTATCCGTATAATATACAAATATATTGTAAAATAATATAAAAAAATGGTTTTCAAAAAGAAAATCTACGAAATTGCAATTATTTTAAGAAAAATGTAGTGTCATATTCTTAACGAATCATCCTGTACATAAACACAGTCGTGAGTGCTACGCTTTTTTATTTATTTTTTACCGCCACCGTGTAGCTGGATATTTTAGTTCCTCATAAGTGTTCATTCGATATTATATCAGACCCAATATATCCTTTAAAATGCATAGTAATTATGACACAACCCGTGACACATACTACTGATAGGACAACTAGTAATGTGCCACGGCCTGCGACACTCTTCTCGCCATCATCCGTCGACCGTCAGGTAGCTACAAACTGACCGCTGGCCATCACTGTTTACATTAACCCCGTCCGCCCTCGTATTCCCTAGTTATTCCCGACCCAACGGTACACGATCGCTTGAATGAAATAACTAGCCTGACCAAAATATTATATTCTCTTAATGTGTTTCGTTGTTTGTAAAATATAAAACAGATGTGAGGTTAATTTGCAGACTTGAAATATTACTCTGTTTCGATATTGAATTACAAACGTGTTTTGCTCATCATCCCGGACGAATTTTTCGAGCGCAGAGCGAAAAAGAAATAAACTATTTTCTCTAACCTGCGCCGTGCCCCGTTAAACCTAAATACAGTTCAAACATAGTCAACGACGCGTGTACGTATTTTCTGTATATATTTAAAAGAACCGAAGGTCATGGCGTGTATGTACATATCTTTTTCGTTATCGTTATGTCTGTAAAAGAGGAAAGAGACAAACGCGCTATGCACTATTCCCACTGTTATGTATTACACCAATGTGTATTGTGTGTACTATGTATTTTTATGATGCCAACCTTGTCGCTGGGGGATTCGACTTCAGTTGTAACATTGATAATTTAACACCAAAAAAAAAACAAACTTTTGAGTACGCATATATGTGTATAGAATATATAAGAAAGAAAATATGTAAAT